CTCGATGGCAAACTCTTGAAGGGAAGTGACCTGGTGTTTCCGATGCCCGGGAGTCTCTGCATGGGCTTTTCTTGGAGCCTGTACTTCTGTCAACGCATCAATGAGCGTCTTATGTCCGAAGTGCCGCGGCTCTTGAATTCGGAGGTCGTTCGCGATCGAGGTCCACCCGTAGTTCTCCGTCACCTACAGCAGGACGATCCCCGCCACTATGTGTATGTCGACAATTTAGGCGTGCTGTCGAGGGATCGCCGCTTTGTCGAGGAGGCGGTCTCCGAACTCACGGATGTCTTCACCAGCCAGGGGCTCATCCTGCATCCAGCTGAGATCCAGTCCGGTCGGGTAAAGACCCTTGGCGTAGAGCTTGACGGTGAAAAACTTCGCACCAGGGTGACGCCAGAGAGGATGCACAAGTTGAGAGCCACCATCAGAGCGCTACTCCGTCGAGGCAGGTGCAGTGGTCGTACTTTGGAGGTAGTCATTGGCCACGCGACTTTCTGCGGGCTGGTGGAACGCAAACTTCTCTCCATTTTCAACACAGTGTGCCGATTCATAGACAAATGCTATACACAGGTCACACCTCTTTGGAAATCTGTGATCGAGGAGCTGCGGGCCTACGCCGCCCTGGCTCCAGCCTTGGAGAGTGAGTGGTGCAGAGGTTGGAACCCCCAGGTTTTGGCCTCAGATGCGTCCGAAGAGGGCTACGGGATTGTCTCAGGTGTGTTTACTGCCGCTGAAGTCGCAGAGGTGGGCCGAGTTTCCGAACGCAGCAGGTTCAGACGGAGCGCCGGGCATAGCGCCCGCGAAGCAGCACTAACTGCGGCGGGGTTCGTAAAGGACCACATCACCGGCGACTGGATCACCGGCGACCTCGACAGTGCGGAGTATCTCGAGACCGCTGGCTGGGAGCTCAACTCGCGGTTCCCTGAAGTGCCAGCCGCAATGTTGCAAAAGCATCACTGGAGTCCGAAGGCGTGGGGAAACTGGAGAAAGAAGGAGCACATTGGCCAGTTGGAAGCTCGTGCCTGAGTCAAGTCACTTCAACGAGTGGCAAACACGAAGTTCGGCTTTGGCATTCGTCAGCTCCTCATTGTCGACTCCATGTCAGTTGCGCTTGCTTTTGAACGCTCTCGGAGCCGCAGTTTTCCCATCCTCCGACAGATTAGGCGCTTTGCGGCATACAGCATTGCCTGCAACATATTCACTGGGGTCAGGTGGATTCCATCTGAGCTTAACAGCGCTGACGAGCCGAGTCGTATCTCTTCAGAAGTCACCTCTAAGACCCTGGCTGATCGTATCCCTATTGGCCATGGCGTCATCGGGAGCCGACAGGGAGACCCGCAGGGAGAGAATATTGCGGCCACCCGCAGTGAAGCCGCCCGCAAAGGTGACTCAGAGGAGGAGGCTCCTGGTCAGACCAAACGAGGACCCGCAGCCGCGCAAGATCCCTCGACAGGAGAAGCTGGTGCGGCCGGATGTGGCGGGGCGGCTGAGGACTCTTCGGCCGACCCCTTCTCCACTTGCGTTGGAGCAGGTGGAGAAATCAGGCCTCCCGGCCAGGGACCACGTTGTCGCTCGAGACAGCGACGAGTCCAGTTCATCGGAGAACGTGGCAAAGAAAAGCAGAAGGGAGAAGAACCTGGCAAGGAGGAGGCACCGTCGTCTCCATCTCTATGTTCAGGAAAGCATGGAGGCCATAAAGCTGGGTTTGAGCTTGCTAGAGAAGAAGGCGATCACAGCCAACACCGAGCGCTATTACCAGGCGGAGCTATCAGGTTTGAAGGCTTTCGCGAAGCGGCAGGGCGTGGATCTCAACAAGAAGGACACGAGGGACACGGAGGTGGACCGAGTAATCACGGAGTACTTCAACCACCTCTTCATGGCCGGGCATCCAGCTCACAGGGGCGACAAGATCCTTGCCTCCCTCATGCACTTCCGCTCCCAGTACAGTCGGATGGGAGGCGGAAAGCTTCCTCGGAGCTGGCGGGCCTTGAAAGGATGGAAACGATTGAGCCCAGGGCAGTCTCGCCGAGCGATGCCGTTGGCAGTCTGGTGCGCCATCTCCATGGAGCTGGTGAGAATGGGCCAACTCCGCATGGCATTATTCCTGATGGTGGGCTTGAGCAGCTACTCACGC